ATGGTCCTCATACACACAGAGTGGTTTTGCTCTTCCCACAGGTGGTAGTTGGAAAAAATCTCCAACTGCTAGTATAGATAATCCACCAAAAGGTTTCTGGTTTCCTTTAATCTGTTGCAGTCTCCAGTTCACATAGGCAAACAACTGTTTCGACACCATTGATATTTCGTCGATAATTAAAATGTGTGCATTAGAAAGGTCTGCCCTGATTTCATCCAAGCTGTTTCCCAGGCCTTGGTATGGAGGCTTCAAGCTTCTTGGGAGTTTCAGGAGACAATGGAGAGTTTTGCCAGAGATTCCAAAGGCTGCAGTTCCTGTGAATGCGGTCAAAAGGACGGTTGGCTTGGAGATGTCAGTATGCTCTCGCATGCATGGAAGCCTGCGCAAAATCTTGGTTGCTTCTGCATGAATAGATTTGATAACATGTGATTTACCAACTCCTGCTCCTCCATTCAAAAAATACAGAAATTGTTGTGGGTTTTCACCAGAGACACATCTTTTGCACCAGTCTCGCACTGCATAAAATATGGAAGCTTGTGTTTGATTCAAGCTCTGGTACATTTTACGAATCTGTGCATGATTTTGTTGGGTAGATTCCACGAGTGGCATAGCTGTGTTACTGACAGAGGTAGATGCTGTGTATTCAGGAACATCGTCCTGCTCGTTCACATCATTAGGATCAGTGGGTTCACGTTCTGATATGCTCTCCAAACGGACCATCTCATTTGCTGGAGCCAAAGTAGACCATGCATCTTCAACTGGACCATTCTGTTAAAAATCCTCAATTGCCTGTTCAATAGCCTCATTATGCTTTTCATATTTCTCACGGTTTTTGTTTACAATATTGCACACACGCTGCAGTTCATCAGTTCCTGGTAGTTTTACTGAAGCAAACGCATAAAATGATTCGTATGTCTGGAATCTGGCTGACTTCAGCTGCTCATCTGAGCGATACGGCAAGTAAAGCTTTAGAAGAGTTCCAAAGAATTTTTCTGGGTTTTTCTGCTGTGAAAAACGGGCAAATCTGATGACAGCAGGTTTTCCTCTTGTTCTTTTTTGTATATGTCCCAAGTTTTTTTGAAGTGGCAAAACATTTTTACCTTTTTTCTGTCGTGCATAAACAATGCGGTATTCACTTGCAAATTCAGCCATGCACATGTTCTCAAATTCAGGTCTGTTTGGTCTGGCCTTGTACTTGTCAGGCAATCCTGTCATCCACACATTCTCTATGTCATCATCCATAGTCTGCAAGCAGCTCATCGGTAAACTCATCTTTACAGCGTTGTCATCAGTAGGAATGAATATGACAGCTCTTGATGATGATTTTAATTTCAGACTGTGCGAGCGACTGCCTCCTGAGCACTGACTTCTCTGTTCTTTGAGTAGGCATTCATGACCTGCTTCATGCACTCACGTTCAGTCAGGTTATCATGGCTTGAGTCTTTTATCACTTTCTTAAGGTAATCGCTCATCTCATGCTCAGCTTTTGAAATGTATGAGACAATATACATGATACAGCTGTAAGGGTTGAGAATGAACTGTATGTCCATGTTTGCATCCCAGGCTCTTAACAGCATTGGATTATAGCCATTTACCCAGCAGTCCTGTGGTCGTCTCTCCATAAATATTGAACTTGATGTAGAAATAGTATCAATATGTTTCTCGTACTCTTCATAAGTCATGTTTACAGTATGAAGTAGCTGTGTAACGCTATCAAAGCTCTGAGTTGAGTCATTCAGTAGATCCCACACCTTCTGTAGCTGTTCTTTTGCGAAACTGGCATCATGTCTTTCCTCTGATTTGTTCTCTTCATCAGACTGATCTGCAGGAGGAGGCCTGGGCCGGGATATCATGGTCCTGTTAATGGGTGGTTTAGGAAATCCAAACCGGCAGTGCTTCTTGTTCTTTCTACAGGATTTTGAGTGGTTACGACTGTGCATCTGCACTTCACTTACAATTTTATGTAGCTCTGGGTCTTTGTCTGGGTCTTGTAATTTGCATGAGATATATTTATCAATGAAATCACACACATCCTGATCTTCATCTTTTTCAAACTCTGGAGCATCTTTCACCCAAAATAAGCAGTGAATGTGTGGAGAGCCACGTAGCTGGAACTCTACTCTGTAAAAGAAGTCAATTACCTCACCGATGGGTCGAGCAGGTGAATTGATCAAATCTCTCATCAAGGCTTCAACTCGTTTTTCAAACATCCGCATGGCTGTGACAGGGTTGCTCCTGAGGATTTCACATTTTTCAGACCAGTCTAATTCAGCGAAGTTCACAGTTTCACCTTGTTGTGCTTTAATAGCAGTAATCACATCAGGCCATCTCATCTCAGCAGCACTAAACGTACAGAAAAATGTTGGAGTGCCCAGTTGTCTCAGCATAGCAAACAGATCATGGAGAGATTTCTCCCAGTATGCTGGAGTTCCTCTTAATGGTTGCATGAATCGCGTAGCTTCCTTGTTTATTACAAGCTTTTCTAACTCATGCTTGTCCTGCAGCAGTGAACAGTTTATTCTGCGTCCATCACGGGTCATGGGTTTTGCTTTCCTCATCTGGGATAGACATACTAGATGTGGCCATGTGCATTTCAGTCACAAACTGCGCAAAGAAGATATAGTTGGTATCCTTCGCACAACGATTGTCGATAGAGAATAGTCTAGAGTTAAAGTATCTGCTGGGGGAAACATGTTTTGCTCTACCAGGCTCATCAAAGGTGTTCTTGCCATCGGGAAACTGCACTGGAAACGCCATAGACTCGAGTTTAGGAACTTTGAAAGTGTTTACAGGAGTGTTTTTCTCTGCTGGGGCAATGCAAAATACTCCATCATCATAAGACAACAGTTGCTGGCCGAGATCTGGGGGCTGAAGACGTGTCCAAGGCAAGGCCTCTCGATTGCTGTTCTGAAGTAGTGTCTTCGTTTGCATCATCGTGTTCATTCTCATTGCTCTGTTCTTCAGTGTTCTCAATTTCCATTTCCTCATCTGGAGCACTGATGTCATTTGCACTCTGTTCATGCTCATTAAACATTTCTTCTTCAGAGAGTTCTGCATTAATTAAGATATCTTTATATTCTGAATGGATATCTTTTAGCTTTCTTAAAGCAGACAAAACCTTTTGCATGTTCAAAGTCTGAAACTGATAGTGACCTTGGTAACAGACGTCTCTTCAGTTTCACTGTTAGCAGTTGTGATTCACTTCTTGGTCTGGGTAAAGAGTTCACTGTTGTTTCTACTTCAGATGCAACAGAAATCACAGCACCTTTTATAGCTCTTTGCTGGCCTTTCGGTAGAGTAACAATCTTAGCAAAAGGAATGTACTTTGCAATAACGTGTCTTTCAAGAACATTCAAATCACAGAGTTCTGGAGGAATGACAGCGAACTGAAGTTGATTGGCCAAAGCAATGTCTGGCATCAGACCTCTCACAAGTGTATTATGGCAGCAGTGACAGATCCACTCTGTTTCCTGTGATCGAGGGCACACTGATCAGGGCAGTCGGAGCAGACGTGAACATAGTTTCCAGTCAAGCAAACTGAACACTGCATGAAAAGTGGATTTTCGTCCCCGTAAACTGCCGGAAATCTCCCTAATTTTCGGCAGTTAACGACAATTTACAGACTGTGAACGTCGCGTTCCACTGTGCCACATATTGACGGAAACGAACCATGACGTATGCATGCAGCGCTCGCGGAGGTGCGAATGGCCCTAATTAGCATATGAATAGCAGCACTGCGCGCGCCTTGCCAGAGAATGGCTTGAATTTCCTCACTCAGTATTGGTTGAAATTCACTACATTTAAACAAGAAAATCACTCGTGATTGGTTGGCAGATCTGTTACTATTGGTCAGCCGACATAAAATTATAATAATAATAATCATATATATATATATTCATATTCATATGATATGCTATTATGTTGTTTATTCATGTCATTGTTATCCTATGGACTAAATTATTATTACCATCAAGGACATGAATTTATTGAGGAAAGGAACATTTGCCACATACTGTTTATTCAAAGAAATAGCTTTATTAGAACAAACACAAAACTATGTACACAGCATAGGAGAACATCTTTCAAAGCACAGAAAACATGTCCTCCACCCTCTGGAAACATGGGACAACATACATACATACAGCACTACAGTTATACAAATAAATCAATAATATATTGCATCTCTATTCAAAAATAAATTGCCCTGAATGGCATCAGAATTGGGCACCAGATATATCAAACACAATGTACAGTGGAGCCAGAATTATGAACGAATAATAAGGATGTAATTTAAAGGTATGGTTCACTTTGAAATAAATTTTTGATATGTTTTATCTTATCTCAAGGGCATCCAAGATGCAGGTGGTTTTGTTTCCACAGTATTTTCAATTTTGATATTTTTAGGTCAAACTGTTGTTGTTCTGTCAGTCATATAATGCAGGTCTATGGTCACCACCTCAAAGAGCATGCACAAAGAAGACCAAATTAAACATGATTTAATGACTCATAAATTAAGTACACAATGATTGACTAAGACACGAAATGAGCGTTTTGGGAAAGAAAACAAACAGTATTTATTTGTATAAATGTGTGTGTGTGTGTGTGTGTGTGTATATATATATATTTAGATATACACAAAATGCAATACATCTTAATATGTTTAGATCTTCACAGTAAAACTTCCGAAATCTGTGTAAACAATGAGTGACGTACCAGTGCAAGATCGCTTCTGGCGGTTTCCACCGCATGCGCAGATCATATATATATATACACACACACACACACACTGTTCATTTCTCACACAAACCGCTCGTCTCGTATCTTAAGCCATCAAGGTGTACTTACAGTTATGATTCATTAAATCATGTTTAATTTGTACTTCTCTGTGCATGCTCTTTTAAGAGATCCCATAGACTTCCATTATATGACTGACTGATGCCCTTGACGTAAGCCAAAACATTTCAAAAAATAATTTCAAAGTGAATATCCCTTTAAAACTCTTAATTCAAGTCCTGTAGGCTTGGGCTCATCAGGGCGAAGTGAATTTAAGTCTTTGCGACGCGTGCTTGAGGTTCACCTTGATGTACATACACCTCAGTGGCTGTGGAACCGAATTTCACGACCCCTTCTGCAAAGTTGAAAAAGACAAATGATTTAGATGTATGCAAAGGCAATCTGCCCCAGTCCCCACATTTGTAAGCAAAAATATGTTTCTTCTGCATCCCACTACCTGGTTTCCTTCAGGCGATGGCGGATGTCGACCAGTAGTTTCAGGACCTTTTTCTGGAACACTGAAATAAACGAACACATTTGGTGATGTTTACAATGCTCTAATTAGAATAACAAAGTTTGCTAGCTCACAAGAGAGAAGGTGTCTATTAAAAGTGTCTTCTCCACTGCCAATAGATCAACACTTACCACCAGGTTTCCGTCACTGCATCTCCCAGTCTCAGTCACTGCATCTATACCACAAAAAATGTGTTTTAAAAGTTATTATCAAATGATGAAACTGAACAGATTTATAGATATTTAAAAACTTGGTCAAACATTTATAACTGAATATAACATGCCATGTTCCAGTTCTTTGGGCGTTTTCACCACTGTCTCACGCTCAAAGTCATCTATAAACACAGACGTTAATCCAAATTAGTTTAGTTTTACTTTTTATTTGACTGGGGTCTGTTCAAAGAAAAGAGGATGAGATCACAACACGTAACGTTACCTTATTTAGGTGTTTTTTTTCTCCCATCAGCGAAGGACACCTCACTCCTACAGCCCCTGAGAGACAAAACAAATCACAAACATCTGAAGATTTCACTCATCACACAAAGTGATGCAATTTACAAACAAGGATAGCCTACACTAGAGCATACAAGCACATTACGCGCTTTGTTTTAGGACCTGGCACTTATTATTTTTTCATAATTTCTGACGATATTCAGAGAAA